ATTCGTACAGCACTCTACTACACACACACATTCGTACAGCACTCTACGAAGAACACACATTCATACAGCACTCTACTACACACACACATTCTTACAGCACTCTAGTAGATCTCCACAAAGATAATCTGAATCTGTAGAGATTCATCAGAGCTTTAGATCACATTCATACACTGATGGGACACACACCAGAGGCAATGAAGGGTTCTGTGTCTTACCCAGGGACACTTTATTGACTGCTGATGGAATCAAACCCCAACTCTCCCATTGGAGCATGACCACTCTAACCAGTCAGCTACCGTTGCCTCACAAAACATGCTGAAAATGTTACTTTAAGACTAGTCTTAAGTCTTTCATTTTTGATAAACCCTATAGTTAGGGTTGGCTTAAGTTTCCTGAGCTACCCCTTAGTTATGCTGCTGTTGGAGGACAAACTGACCACATTTTCTCTCTCTGCTGTCTTTACTAAAGCCCCCAGTACACTCCCGCATATGTCCATCCACGCGTATGTACACGCGTATTGTACGCAGAGGGCTCAGACTTCATACTTGAGCGTCCACCCTGAGCGGCTGCAGTCAGCTCCACAGACAAGGGGCATTTACGTTTGGGACAAATTGAGGTCGCCGATTGGTCATTTGCTGACACACCTACTGGATTGATTGACAGGTCAGAAAATAAAAAAAAACGAGTGCTGGCAGCCTCAGCCGCAGCGGTGTTCTGTTTATATTGACTCTTTTCCACTGTCATGGCGCAGGTCGAATATTTTCGGCTCAGCTCGTGTTTGAGGTCTTTTCCATCAGTACTTCGGACCGGCTCACACTCAGTATTCTGGCCCTGCTTCTCAAGGGGTCCAAGCGACCCAAGCCGTGACGTCAGAAACACTGTTGGTCACTGTCACTGATTGGTCGGGGTGAGGAGTCTGTGGAGTCTTTCCAAACAACCCGATCTGCCATTTTTCTCTACTGCCTGCCATTAGCGATAACTCGAGGAGCGTATCTTGTACGGATTTTGAAGATATAAAAAAATAGTAATAATGTCAAAGCCGTGGTCAAATGCAGAAGTGTAGGTGTTGTTGTGCTTGGTGGCTGACGAAAAAAGTCAAAGTGATGGAGCGATTGGAGGGTTGTTTGGACACGCCCACTACTCTACTTGAATCATTTATAGAAGATGGTGAGTGTTTTCTAACTTTAAACATATTTTAAGTTACTCATCCCATAGGTTTGGAAAATATTTTTAACTAACAAAAAAAGGCTGAAGCCTTAATAGGATAACTTCGGTGCTACGATGCTAAGCTAATTAGCATAAACGCTAACTGTCCTCCGGTCCCGTTTCTCACTGTATTTTATCCAGAGCGTATTTTAGTGCGTGACAGTTCGTCTCTAAACTCCACAATCAACCCTTCAAGCCTCCCGGCTTCTGCTCCTGCTCCATCAGAGGAGTCTACACCTGACAGAGCTCCATCACAGCCCAGCTGCACCTCACAGAGCAGCACAACGCTGCAGCTTCTGTGCTCGGTAAGAACAGATGCAACATGTTCCACATCACTTTATTTGTGCCAATAAGGACTTGATTTATTTTATTTTTAAAGTAAAAAAAAAGTTGAATAAATACTGAATATGCACCACATGCTGAACATGTGGTGGGATGAAATTATGTACTTTGTACACAGGGTCCCAGTTACAGACAACAAAATGTAAAAGAAAAACAGTAATAAGATCTAAGATATGAATTAAGAAAAATATTAACTAAAAAACATCTACTAATAATACACTAAGCACCAATAGCAGTAAACAATCAAAACAATACGTCAAACAGCAACATGAACTTGAGTTTGTGCAGCCTCATGGATATCTAACCAGGATAATCACATCATGTTGCTGCTGATCTGTTTCATGTTGCTGCTGATCTGTTTCATGTAGCTGCTGATCTGTTTCATGTTGCTGCTGATCTGTTTCATGTTGCTGCTGATCTGTTTCATGTTGCTGCTGATCTGTTTCATGTTGATGTGTTCATTCGTGCTCATCTGTTCACACAGACTCATGTCCGTGCTGCTGTTCGGCGTATTTTGTTTATTGTTTTTATGCTATTAGTGCTTATCATATTTTTAGTTGATGTTTTTCTTAGTTCATATCTTAGATGTTATTACTGTTTTTCTTTTATATTATATTGTTGGATGTAACTGGGACCCTGTGAACATAATTTTGATCCACCACATGTACCACATGTGGTGCGAATGACAATAAAGAATATCTGTATCTGTATAATACTTTCTGATTCATATATCCACTGTTATTATTATATTATTTTCATTATTTTTAAATCAATTCATTTTTCATTTTCTTATTTGATCAGTTTATTATTATTAATATATCTATTATAGCTGTTAGCTGCACCTTTCTTTGTTTTATGCATTTATTCAAAAACAGTATGTAGCTTGAATTAACCACCTGTTTCTTCTTTCTAGTGAAGAGAAAGAGAAAAGAGTCCAGTAAAGAAAAGTCTTATTTCATCACTGAATGAACATGAAGAACTGAAGCGGACACAGCAGGAACAACACGTGTGTCTTCTTCTGGATGAAGCCCGTGAGACAAGGGACACACAGATACACAATCATTAGTTGGATGCAGTATTTTTTATTTTTGTACATTTTGCACTTGTTACTTTTTGTTTGTTGATGTTTTACATAGAAACAACACCTGGAGTACTCATCTCAGAACTGTCCCCAGCTTCCTGAGGTATACGGCCTCTCCTACTGAGACTTGCTCGGATTTTTTCATGTTAAAAAGGAATCATTCATTTCCACTGTCGCCCCATGCTTGCGCAGGATGGACTGCATGAAAGTAACGATTCGTTGTGTGGGTCCTGTCCAAGGCCGGATTAACCATATGGGCAACTGGGCAACTGTCCAGGGGCCCATGATCTCTAAGGGGCCAATGATCTCTAAGGGGCCCAGGGCAGTGAGGGCACAAGCAAAATATCTGGTTATCTCCTGCTTTACTTGGAGCCCTGAACTGCACAAACTGCTGTGCTTCCACTGCATTTGTGCAGCCCCGCCTGCTCCCAGCTGCTGCAGCTCTGTTTTTTTTTTTTTCCCCAATCGATCCTCAACTGCGCGACCTGTCAATCAACTCAGAAGGCGTGTCAGTAACTGACCAATCGACGACCTCAATTTGTCCCGAAGGTAAACGCCCCTTACCTGCTGACAAACTCATCAGTTTTTTTTTTTCTTGAGAAACTTCAGGTTTTAATTAAAACAATAAGTTTGTATCTGTTGTGAGATGATTTTAACAGTTTTGCAGATTTTTAATCTACTTATTGAAGAATAGTAAGACTTAAAATCGTTCATAAAACAGGAAGGAGGACTTATTATCCCTCCTCTTACTACAAAGTATAATGAATGTGGTACTTTGCTATAAGTACGACTATATTTATGGCATCAGAGAAAGCTGAGCTTAAGTTATCCACATAAAGTAAAATGGCATCAGCATGAAAAGAAGGAATGTTAAGTTTGAGATTAATCCAGTTTCTGATGGTTGACCAAACACTTTGTAGTGACATTAAAAAATAAAAATTGCTCGAGCGATTCATCTTCTGATTTACAACAGGCAGAAACATGGCTACAGGATATATCTTATTGATTATTTTTAAATGATTCTCCTTCACTTTAGGAGATTTAGGCCATTTGACACATTTAGAATGAGCAGAAATCATTCTGGTTTTATGATTTATATTGGGAGGTTTCTTGAAGGAATCTTTGTTATAATCAGTAAATCCTTTGTCACAAACATTCATTGATCATCTTGTTACATTTGAAGTCAACTAAGTTACAGACATTTAATTTTAATGTGGGTATCAAATGGTCACCTTCGAATATATAATATTTTTAATTCATTGAATCAGCTGTTGGTCAGGCTACTTCTTGTTGTGCCTTCTTCTTCTTCTTCTTCTTCTTTCAGCTTTTCCCTCTTCAGGGTTCACCACAGCGAGTCGTCCTCCTCCACCTCACTCTGTCCTCTGCATCCTCTGTCCTCACTCCAACTACCTTCATGTCCTCTCTAACTGCATCCATATATCTCCTCTTTGTCTTTTCGTGGCAGCTGCATTTCTAACATCCTACCAGTATACCCATGGTCCCTCCTCTGGACATGTCCAAACCATCTCAGTCTGGCCTCCCTAACTTTATCTCCCAGTTGTTTAACCTGTGCTGTACCTCTCATTCCTAATCTTATCCAGCCTTGTCACTCTTAAGGAGAACCTCAACATCTTCATTTTTGCCACTTCCAGTTCTGTTTCCTGTCTTTTTGTCCATGTCTCTGTCTCCAGACCATACAATATAGCTGGTCTCACCACTGTTGTGGAAACTTTTTCTTTGACCTTTGCCGACACTCTTTTGTCACAAATCACTCCTGAAACTTGTCTCCATCCACTCCATCCTGCCTGGACTCTCTTTTTCACTTCTTTACCACATTCCCCATTTTCCTGGACAGTGGACCCCAAGTCCTTGAAATCCTGCACCTTTGTGACCTCTGCTCCTTGTAGCCTTACTGTTCCACTTCCTCCCTCTCATTCACACACATGTACTCTGTCTCACTACGACTGACTTTCATTCCTCTTCTTTCAAGTGCATACCTCCACCTCTCCAAGTTCTCTTCCACCTGTTCCTTTTTCTCACCACAGATCACAATGTTATCTACAAACATCATAGTCCATGGGGATTCTTGCCTGACCTCATCTGTTAGTCGGTCCATCACCAGAGCAAACAAGAAGGGGCTCAGAGCCGATCCTTGATGCACTCCCACCTCCACCTTGAAGCTATCTGTCACTCCTACAGCACATCTCACCACTGTCCTGCTGTCCTCATACATGTCCTGCTGTCCTCATACATGTCCTGTAACTGTCTAACATACTTTTCTGCCACTCCAGATTTCCTCATGCGATACCACACCTCCTCTCTTGACACTGTCATATGCTTTTTCTAAATCCACAAAGACACAATGGAGTTCTTTCTGACCCTCTCTGTACTTCTCCATCAGCATTCTCAAAGCAAAGATGGCATCTGTGGTGCTCTTTCTTGGCATGAAACCATACTGCTGCTCACAGTCACCTCTCGTCTTAGTCTTGCTTCCACAACTCTCTCCCAGATCTTCATTGTGTGACTCATCAACTTAAATCTCCTGTAGTTGCTACAACTCTGTACATCACCCTTGTTCTTAAAAATGGGCACCAGCACACTTCTTCTCCATTCCTCAGGCATTTTCTCACCCTCAAATATGCCATTGAATATTTGGGTCAAAAACATCACTGCAATCTCTTAAAGACATTTCCAAACCTCCACTGGTCATCAGGTCCTACTGCCTTCCCCTTCTTCATTCTTTTCAGAGCTTTCTGGACTTCACCCTCACTAATCTTTCCCACTTCCTGGTCCACAGTTTCTATGACCTCTACTCTTCTTTCTCTTTCATTCTCTTCATTCATTAGAGTTGCAACCCTGAGTCCTATATTCTTCACTTTCCTCTTCTCCCTGTGCTCCTGACCCGTTTCTCTCCTCGTGGTCTTCGACAAACAGTAGCACAATTTCCGTAGGCACCCTGTTTGTCAACAGCACCGGTGGCGGTCGTTGCTAACCCGGGCCTCGACCGATCCGGTACGGTTTCGCTTTGATGAACTCGCATTATGGTTTTGGCAAAAGTGTTTTACATGGGATGCCATTCCTGACACAATCCTCACCATTTACCCGGGCTTGGGACCGGCACAAGATACACTGGCTTGTGCTCCCTAGTGGCTGGTTAGAAAGAAGAAGAATCAGCTGTTGGTCAGGTTACTTCTTGTTGTGCCATTAGCTCTAAAATAGTTACTGAATCAAGTGTTTACTTCCATCCATCCGCGGGGGTAGCAGCCTAAGTAGGGAGGCCCAGACTTCCCTCTCCTCAGCCACTTGGACCAGCTCCTCCAGGGGAATCCCAAGGCGTTCCCAGTGTTCACTTATGTAGGTAAAACTAGATGTTGAACAACCATTAAAATACACCAGAATGCAGGAAATGGCATCTACTTTATTCAAAATTTTCTTGGGGAGAACCCCCCAGACCCCCCCATCAGTGTGTGTCCCCACACACACATTATAAATGCTTCTGACACCAGTGGCCAGCACGTTACTAAACAAGTACACATACACAATGTCATGTGGTGTTCAAAGTGCATTCAACTTAATTCAGTCTTGATGATTTGTGTCAATGAGCATTTGGAGTTTTATACATAAAAATACTCTTGATAGTTAGAATTTTAAGTATATTTACTGTATATTATGGTAATTTATTCTGTATTTTTGCCAGATTATGGTGATTCTGGGGTCGTGACGATGGGGCCCTTGAAGATTGTTGCCCAGGGTACAGCGAAGTGTTAATGTGGCCCTGGTCTTGTCAACACTTTATATGGCTCAAGTTCAAGTTATGTTTATTTGTCATATGCAGGTTAACACAAGGTACAATGAAATGTTCAGGATGAGAAGAACCGATTGACTCAGTAAAAAAACAAAAACAAAGGACAAACAAGAAATACTACAACACGCTATAAGGGTACAAAATAATTATGGTCATTCTGTAATATTCTGAATGTGAACTCAAATGAATTTGAATCGGATTTGCTTTCATGAAAGAGGTCCTAAGACGACCTTTGTTAAGAAATGGCTTTATAGAATAAATTAAGCCGTACCTTTATGTCAGGATCCGCCAGCTGATGCTTCAGCAGTTCATAATCACAAAGATCCCCCTTGAAAAATAGAAAACTCATCAACAGGTTCCTCATACGACTCGAGCCTGATGTTAGCAGAAAGTGATCAACGTGTGGCAGAATAAGATGTCAGACAGAGCAGCCTGTTGTCTCACCTGTCTGTATTTGATCAGGGTCTCGGACACACTGCCTCCGAACCTCACCGTCTTGTTCGGAGGGGAGTTCAGAAAGTCCGGAGCGCGAGCCTCCATGTTCGAAATCAAAGATGGCTGGAAATTATTTCTCTCATTTTTTGACACAGTTACGGCGAAATATTCAGCGGGAAATACAAATTATTTCGAAAAGGCAAATATTAAATTGCAATTTTTTGACTGAACGATAACAAGAATCGACGCGTGTTGTATTTATACAGGAACTCACGTTGGAGGAAGCGGAACAGTGGTGTAACATTGAAATGCTTCCCCCCCCACAGGATTCCGCTTGCATGGCTTTTTACACGAGTTCATTTTGTTTTCAGTGCCCTGTCTAGTTTTTCGTGTTTTATAGTTTGTATACAATTGGGTTCAGATTGTAAAATAATTAATTTAGTTTATGTAATGGCAGCATTATGTGCACAACCTCACATATGACAACAATATATGACAATATGACAACCTCAGCTGGAGCAACAACACCACCAGCCTGATCAAGAAAGCTCATCAGAGACTCTACTTCCTCAGATGGCTGAGACGAGCTGGTCTGGGAAGCTCAGTCCTCACTTCCTTCTACAGGTGTGCAGTGGAGAGCATCCTGTGCTCCAGCATCAACGTGTGGCATGGAGGCTGCACAGCTGCAGAAAGAAAAGCTTTGCAGAGAGTGGTGAAGGCTGCACAGAAGATGTTGGAGTCAGCCTCCCCACCATCACAGACATCTACACCTCCAGATGCAGGAAGAGGGCCACCTGCATCATGAAGGACCCCACCCACCCAGCACACACACTTTTTGCCCCACTCCCCTCAGGAAGGAGGTTGAGGAGCATTAAGTGTAGAACCACTAGACTGAGGAACAGCTTCTACCCTGAGGCTGTTAGACTCATGAATCTCTAACCAGAATAATCACTGTGAAAAACCACATCATGTTGCTGCTGATCTGTTTCATGTTGCTGCTGATCTGTTTCAATGTTGATGTGTTCATGCGTGCACATCCGCTCACACAGACTCATGTTCATGTTTGTGCTGATGTTCAATGTTTTTATGTTATGAGTGCTTAGTGTATATTTAGTTGATGTTTTTCTTAGTTCATGTGTTAGATGTTATTACTGTTTTTCTTATACATTTTATTGTTGGATGTAACTGGGACCCTGTATACATAATTTCGCTCCACCACATGTACCACATGAGGTGCGAATGACAATAAAAAATCTCTGACTCTGACAAACCAGAACACTTAACAAAAAAGTTCAATTCAACCTTTATTTAGAACAAAAAAAAGTTCAATCTGGTCCTCTGGACATTCAAAAAAACAAAACAAACAGCTGACCGACGATTTTAGTTCCAGGCTCTTGCGAATTATGCCATTTTGTCGACATCTGAGGTTGAATCACAAGTGGTTCCTGTAGTCTGCCCTCTTCCTTGCTGTTTTCTTAAACTCTCTTACTAGTTTGAGGCAATCCTGGCCAAAGTGGTTCAAAATATCCTGATGCATGCTCAATAATCCAGGTAGAAAAATCCAAAACAGTTCAATCTGGTCCTCTGGACATTCAAAAAAACAAAAACGTTTTGTCTCTCATCCAAGAGACTTCCTCAGTCTGAGGTGCTGTATTCAGCTCAGTCTCTTAAATAGCACCTTCTCGGAGTGGATCAACCAGTTTGCTGTCAGCGGGCACCGGGCAAGCAAGATCCTTCAGAAGGCACAGGCCCAGCTGCTGAATGAACGGGTGAGACAGACCAATTTTACTATTGAGGCCTTGAAGGCCAAAGAAGAGCACATTAAACAGAAACGTACAACGTGTCTGGATCAGACCACACTTCAGCAAGTGATGGACTGTACAGATCAGGCACGCTAAGCACAGCATGTCAAGTCCAAGACTCGACAACAAAACAAGTTTAACTTACTAATAACTCATCAACACCATCACTATTCCAATAACAACACATTCAGTGTAGGACAACACTCCAGTAGTCAATTACATGCCAGGGAGACAGAAAAGTGGGTAAAGAATTTATCTGACAGACGGCTCACCCAGCCGGAGACAGAGATTCTTGCCAGGGGACTGAACTTTGCGGTTGCACCAAGTAGAATTCCTCTGGTGGAGATGATCACAGCTACTGAGTCAGCCATCCGCAACAACAAAATGAAAGAGGGTGAAGCAGAACAGCTCAGAATCAAAGTTTCATCCTTCCTCAGCAATGCCAAACCACCACCTTCCAACATCAGTAGAGAGGAGAGGGATGCACTCACCACTCTCAGCAAGGACAAAAACATCATCATTCTCCCAGCAGACAAAGGAAGGTGCACAGTGATTTTGAACCAGAAAGACTATCATGAGAATGTTATGACACTCCTTAGTGACTTAACCACTTATGAACCTCTGAAAAGAGATCTAGGAAGTGGTTACAAGAAAAAGTTAATAGATTGCCTGAAAAATTTGGAGCAGGACAAGGCTATTGACCGTATTCTGTACCACAGACTGTACCCAGGGGAGGCCACATCTAGTCTGTATGGTTTACCTAAAACCCACAAACAAGGTGTACCTTTAAGACCTATTGTTAGCATGATTAACTCTGTCACTTACAATGTTTCCAAATATCTGGCGTCTGTACTCATCCCTTTAGTTGGCAGCTCAGAACACCACATACAGAACACCATGGACTTTGTGGATAAGGTGAGGGATGTCATCATGGAGACTGATGAAACAATGGTCTCTTTTGATGTCACATCACTCTTTACATGCATTCCTGTTGATGATGCAGTAGAGGTGGTCAGTTTAAGATTAAAATCAGACGCCACTCTGAGCAGCATGACCACACTTTCCACAGAACAACTGTGTCAACTCTTGAAACTGTGCCTGCAGTCAACCTACTTCACATATGGGGAGCAATATTATAGGCAGAAACATGGGTGTGCTATGGGGTCTCCAGTTTCTCCTATTGTTGCCAACCTGTACATGGAGGAGGTAGAAAAGAGAGCCTTGACGTCCTTTTCAGGGACACCACCAAGTCAATGGTTCAGGTATGTTGACGACACCTGGGTTAAAATTAAAACTCAGGAAGTCCAACATTTTACTGACCACATCAACTCTGTGGATAAATACATCAAGTTCACACGAGAAGATGTAAAAAAAATGGCAGGTTGGCTTTCTTGGACTGTGAGGTCTCAGTCTCTGATAGAGGACATCTGCAAACCGAGGTGTACCGCAAACCCACCCACACAGACCAGTATTTGCAGTTTGACTCCCATCACCCTTTGGAGCACAAGTTAGGAGTCATCAGGACTCTGTATCACAGAGCAGACAGCACCCCCACTAACTCAGGAGCCAGGCAGAAGGAGAAATCCCACACAAGACAGGCTCTAGAGCAATGTGGATATCCTAACTGGGCCTTCCTGAAAGCAGAGAAGAAACCCAAACAGGACTCCAGTCAGCCATCAGGTGAAAAGGAGGAACCCAGACCCAGACCAGTGGTCATTCTGTATGTTGAGGGAGTATCAGAGAAACTGAGACATTTATTTTCTAAACATAACGTCCCAGTGGTTTTTAAACCCCAAAATACATTACGGCAAAGATTGGTTCATCCCAAAGATCCAGTCCCCAGGCACAAACAGAGTAATATTGTGTATGCTGTTCAGTGTCAGGAGGGCTGTGATCAGTCTTACATCAGGGAAACTAAACAGCCACTGGCCAAAAGGATGGACCAGCACAGAAGAGCAACATCATCAGGCCAGGACTCTGCGGTCTACACTCATCTCCAGGCCAGCGGTCACTCTTTCAAGGATGAAGATGTTCACATCCTGGACAGAGAGGAACGATGGTTTGAGAGAGAAGTAAAGGAGGCCATCTTTGTGAAAAGAAATCGTCCATCATTAAACAGGGGTGGAGGCCTCCGGGTTCAACTGTCCCCCTCTTACAATGCTGTGATTGCCAGTTTCACTCAACCCCCTGTGAACAGTAAACAGCCTCAGTGTGCTAATGATCCATTGTTAGGCTGATGGTCCTTCTTGAGCATGTGATCAGCTGGTTTTGGTTGTCAGCAGCAAAACTGGTTGATCCACTCTGAGACGGTGCTATTTAAGAGACTGAGCTGAATACAGCACCTCAGACTGAGGAAGTCTTTTGAATAAAAGACGAAATGTTTCTATATTTTTTTGCATTGTTTTTTTTTTTTTTTTTTGAATGTCCAGAGGACCAGATTGAACTTTTTTGGATTTTTCTACCTGGCTTATTGAGCATGCATCAGGATATTTATTTAGAACCCCATTGAGCCTCGAGGACTAATTCACAAGAGAGACCTGATTTCAATAATAATTGATGACAACAATGGACAACAGCGACAACAATAGACAATTATGAAAGTGGCATACAGATTTTTGTTTGTTTGATTGTTTTTACAAATTAAAATAACATGGCAAAAAAAGTAACAAAAACAGATAGATTATAAGGCAAATGTAGAAAACTAAAAACAGGAACATGTCTGCATTGGTTCTTTCCAGGACAACAGATGCTTAAAACCACTGTGATAGAAAGTAAAATGTATTTAATAAGCAAACTTTTATAGTCACATGAGTAACTGAATGGTTCACTGGAAGCTCAGGTTGATAAGAGCTTCTTCATCACAAATCTCCTGTACTCCTTAAAGGTACTGACTGACCTTTGGTATCTTGATCTTGGGTATCTCAAATCCTTCATCCTCCCAGTTCATTAAAAAAAGGATGACTTGGCTGTTTTCCTGATTTAAACCTTAGATCTCAGGCTGCATCTTATCACCTGTTTTCTTAAGAACTCCTAAATGTGTGTAACTGAAAGGTCTATAAAAGGTCAGCTAATTCTTTGTTTGGGCCTTCACTTTTGCACTGCAGGCAAAGGGAGCCTTCGGACGCTTGTTTGAGTCTCCAAAATAAAGACACTTGCAAGATCAGATCTGATCTCTTGATGTAGTCTCAGCAACTTACTTCTCACTGTTTGTTAAAGTTTCCACAACAGTTTCTGGGGTCACGGACAGGGTTCGGCATTTTCCGGAGGCGTGGGGGATGCCAAGTCCCTGGCCCGGCTGTTAGCAGTCCTCCATTAATGGAGGAACTTGGGGTTCCTCCTCGCTCAAAGGACCGCACGGATCCACTGACCTGTCGCACACTCGTCACTCGGACGAGGCCATATCCGGTGAGAATAAGTTTGCCTTTTAATTACACTGTGGTCTGTCTGAAGCAGATGGTCGTTAAGGGGGAGAATCA